CTTTTGGGGGACAAAATTTAGTTTTCTTTTGCTGTTTGTTTGTTTGTTTGTTTGTTTTTAGAGACTAGGTCTTGCTATGTTGCCTGGACTGGGCAGAACTCTTGGGCTTAAGCGATCCTCTCACCTCTGCCTCCCAGAGTACTGGGGTTACAGACGTGAGCCACCACACCCGGCCAAAACCTTTTGAAACACACACACACACACACACACACACACACACACACACACACACACACACATACTCTTTTATTCTTTTGTCTTTCTTGGCATTTAATTCATCAAGACTGATAAAAGTGGTACTTGTGGGGACTTAACGGGCACATCTGGAAAGCAATTTGGGAAGACGTAAAATCAACCAGCCATGCCACCTTGTTCTAAATTACTATCTGGAGCAAGGAGTGGCTGTTAGGGACTATTGTAGGGTGTGAAATGTTGACTTTCTTTGGCCCGAGTTGAGCTGAACAGCTGTTTTCCTCCTCATTAGCGACAGACATAAGTTTTGGGTCCCCAGATTATTGGAGAAATTTCGAGTGATTGGGTGTGGGATAGAGAATTTCACTAACAGGAAGAAAAAGTTTGATCAGTAGCTTGCAAACTTTAGGATAGAAATGAGGAATTGGCTTTGAAGAAGATGTTTGTGATATTGTGATATATATATATATACTCAACCTTGTTTACTGATAACTCTTAAAACTCATGGAATCTCTAAAGTGGTGTTTTTTTTTTAATGCTAATAAATCGACTGATGGCTGGCTGGCCCTGGGTAGCTTCAGGATGGGGGGGCTGGTCATTGGAAGGAAAAACCTAGGCAGGATTAGGGGGTTGATATTTTTCAGCCCCACCCCCCAGTCTCCCAGCAGGGAGGAGTAAGGGAAGGTGTGAAGGTAGAGCTGATCACCAGTGGCATTTGATTGAATCAATCATGCCCACGTAATAGAGCTTCCTTAGAAACCCCAAAAGTCCGGGTTCTGGGAGCTTCCAGATAGCTGAACATGTGGAGGTTTCTGGAAGGTGGCAGCCTAGAAAGACCATACCGTGCCCTGTGTGTCCCTTCACCTGCTGTTCATCAATGTCCTTTGTAATATCCTTTAGAGTAAACCGGTAAATGTAAGTATAATGTTTCCCTGAGTTTTGTGAACTCTCTAGAAAATTGACTGAAAGAAGTAAGGGGTCATGGGAACTCTTGATTTGTATCTGGCAAGACAACCTGAAACTTGCTACTGGCAGCAGAAGTTGGGGACCGTCTTGTGGGACTTAGCCCACAACCTGTGAGATCTGTCGCTGTCTCTGGGTTGATGGTGTTGATAGGAATGGGATTGAATTAGTGAACACCCAGTTGGTGTCCACTGCAGAATTGATTGCTTGGTGTGGTGTCAGAAGTGATCTGTGTTTTGAGACTACAAGATAAACTACTCTTTTCCCCTACATTATCAGAATGTTCTTAGGAGGTATGAGAAAGGAGAGAAGAAAGGGGATAAGTAATTTGAACAAAGCTGTATAAACACATTGTCTTTGTTTTTTTCTGTTGGCCTTGGTTTGTCCAAGAAAACAGTTGCTTGTGATAAGTTGGACAGTTCACAAAGGTGAAAGCTGGTTATTTCTAAGAGAATTTCCACCTCAGCGTGGGCCTCTGTGTGCAAGAGAAAGAGAGACTGATTGGTTTCCATTTCAGAACAGTAGGCCACAGAAAAGTGTGTAAGCTGTAACCACACGTCCATCTGGGTCTTAGAAGGCATGGACTTTCTATTTGGTAAGAGATGGCGGATGTGTTTTGTCTCCTGGATGGATGACAGCAGGAGTTTCTGAATGAGGCTAGCATCTAATCCCTGAGAGACCAAGACAAGCCCGAGGAGTTCAGGATCCTCCAGGGGCCCTGGTTGTGGTGAGGATCAGGTCTGTAACTCACAAAAAATGGGCTCTGAGGTAAACTTACTCCCCTTTGCCCTCACACTCACATTTTGTCTTCCCCTGTATGTGCTGGGGGAAGGAGCTAAAAAAATATGAGATAGTTGAAGTGAATAGGGTGGTGAGGGCTTTGTTTCCTTAAAGTGCAAACAAACATTCCTAGATGAATCAGGGTGGATGCCCTGGTGCTAAGAATTGCTCAGTTCCCTTTGTTCTAGGAACTGCCCAGACACTTCCTTAAATAGTGGAGGCAGCTGTGGAATTGAGGGAGCCCCGGCCTCGAGGGGCTGGCACTTTGTTCTCTTGGTAGTCATGACTTTCAGTAGCTTGTGATCAGAACAGATGCCCCCACCAGAGCTGCTTTTCTGCCCTCCTCCTCTCCTAAAACGCCCTCTAGTAATTTCCCACAGTTCTCCTAGAAGTACGTGTGTTGATGGGTCTGAGGATGGGTGGGAAAAGGCCTGATTTGAGTCTCCTTTTGCTGTTGGAGGAGCCTGGTTGGTGCCATCAGGCTCCTCTCAGGCCCTCTCAGTTCGCAGGCATCACCTCTCTGGCCTTCTCAGTTTGCAGGCTGAGCATGGGGACCAGAAGTGAAGATGGACTGAAAGTCAGGCTGGTATGTTAGGGGTATACTTTGTAGAGTGGGTGATGGGATGACGTGGAAGGCTCGCAGAGAAGGGAGACCCTGTCAGGTCTCTGTTTTAGAAAGGTCACTTGGATGGCAGATTGGGCAAGATGACGAAGGAGACAGGAAAACCAACTGGGAGGCTGTAGACCCAGTTGTACTTGTGGCCTATAGGGTGTGTATTGTTTTGTGTTGTTTTGAGTTGGGATTTCACTCTGCTACCCAGGCTGGAGTGCAGTGGCACAGTGATGGCTTACTGCAGCGTCAGCCTCCTGGGCTTAGGCTATCCTTCTGCCTCAGCCTCATGAGTAGCTGGGAATACAGGTGCAAGCCACCACACTTGGCTACCTTTTTTTTCCCCTGTTGAGACAAGGTCTTGCCGTGTTGCCTGGGCTGGAAGGGACATGTGTTTTTGAGTTGCAAGACGAGTCAGGGCAATCCTCAGGATCATAATTTGATTTATCATGCCCTATTTCAGAAACCCCACCTTAAGATATTCTGGTCTGGTTCCCTCTTCTCCCAAGAGAGACTCTGTTTTTTGGCAGTTTCCTTCCCTGGAGGCAGTAAAGCAAAGACCAGGAGGCTGCCACCCTGCCTTCCTTAGACGGTCAGCAACGGAATTCCATCTTGACCAGTGTTATTTCCCTTCTGGACACTTGACAGTAAACATTCTGAGGAGGCTGCCATGTCAGTACGTCTCAGGCGGACCGACTGTAGTAGTGGTGGGCTGTCATGTTCGTAGATCTCATTGACCTCGGAAGATTCCCTCTTGTCCCTAACTCTGTACTCGGAACTTTGAGGCAATTACCTCAAATGCAGAACGTGTCACTGGTGGGAAAGGAAGAAGCATTTCTAGAATGTCATTTCTTTCAGTTTCTGTTTCCCGCCTTCTGTGGTTCTGTAAAACCAGTAAATGCAGAAGTAGGGTATGGTTGATCCTTGCTCTGCCCCAGGCCTCCTGACCAGGGTTTAGCAAAAAGGCTTTGGGAGAAACCAGCTCTCAAACTCCACTTGCATCTGAGGCTGCTTTGCATGTGTTGCTATGGAAGTGCACCAACACCAAATAGAGAAGGGGTTGGCAAGCGGGCTGTGAAAAGGAAAATGCGTGTGTGGCTTTTGGTTGCCTAAAAGTTGTATTTTCCTTGGTTGTCTTGTTCAGGTTACTTATTCATACTAAAGAGAAGACATGTTGGGAGGTAAAAGGAGTGGGGGAGAGAAGACGTCTTTCTAAATGAATGGATAGAAGAAATGGCATCACTCACAAGTGCAGGAAGTGTTGCTGTCATCTTCTATGATTCAGATGTGTGTTTAGGAACGCACTTCCTAAAGAAGCATGTTAGTAGAAAACATAATCTTGCAGTGAATATTACGTTGCAGTACGTTTTGAGCTGACTGTGGGCCAGGCAGATTGTATGGGAAGGCTAAGGTCCAAGGTGCTGAGATTATTCCACCTTTACTGAGAGATTAAGAAACATGCCTGAGGCCACTTAACTAGTGGCCTAGAGGCAACAGAGCTGGTGTACACTCAGAGAATGGACTCCAGAGCAAATACCTGGGCACTTGCCTGGGTGAAGAGACAAGTGACATGTTTACTTACTTAGGTGAATTTGTCACATGCACTCTTGCACCTGCACTTGGAATAGCTAATGAGTAGCTAGTCTAGTGAATAATATGAATATTAACGAGCAAATCAGTGAATAATGAATACTAATGAACACTAATGAGTCATGAATAAAAAGATTTTCCACTTTTCCGAGGGTCTCATGAGAGGCATGGTGAGGTATGTCCCAGATGCTGCATTTTCTGGTCGGTTCCTGAATTCTCAGGCTCATGTCAGCATTACAAGAAAGGGGTTCTGGAATCTGTCTATTTCATGGGTTTCCCAGGAGGTGCTAGTGCGGCCAGGGGCCACACTGGGCATCAGAGAGCCTCTTCCTCTCATGGTGCCCTTTTGTAGGTGTTCTCCGTCTCTCCATCCTTTCCACCACTGGACAGACAGAGGGGTTGGGCTGAAGACCTTGACGTTGACATTAGACAGTCCCAGATTGGAGATCAGACTTCTTTGCTTCTTAGTTGTGTGATCTAAAGGCAGTCTCTCAACTCCTTTGAGGGACTGTTTGGCCATCCTTGAGGGTAAGGAGATGGGGAAAAAAACAGGCCCCATCTGAGAAGGTTGTCAGGAGGATGCAGAGATTGTGCATGTAAAACGTAAGCCCGGTACTTTGGGAGGCTGAAGCGAGAGGATCACCTGCGCCCAGCAGGTCAAGGCTGCGTTGGCCATGAGCGTGCCACTGCACTCCAGCCTGGGCGAGAGTGAGACTCCAACTCAAAAAAAAACCCAAAACTGACCGTTATTACTCTAAACACTGCATAAAGGGAGGTCTGATGGTGGTGCGCTTTTCCTAGGTGGATTGACCTGACTGCTTTTGTTCTTTTCCTGTTTCTTCCTCCCCACCCACCTCCCCCTCAGGACGGTTCACTGGGAAACATCGATGACTTGGCACAACAGTATGCAGATTATTACAACACCTGCTTCTCAGACGTGTGTGAGAGGATGGAGGAGCTGCGGAAACGTCGGGTTTCCCAGGACCTGGACGTGGTGAGTGGGGATGTGAGGATGTGCTTCTGCTGAGCAGGGTGGCTCCCATGCAGGCTCCTGGCCTAGTCTGGTCCAGCAGTGCCTCCCTGGTCCTTCTACCAATCCTAGTTGTGCCTGGGGCATCAGTCTGCTGGCAGTTCCACTAGCGTGGGGTAAAAAGTTTAGCACCTTAAAGGACCAGCCCAGTTCTGCTAAAGGTATCAAACTGAGTGAGTGGTGGCTGGGGCCAGAGGATCAAATCTTTGCTTTCATTAAAAGATTAAATTTTGGTTGGGCATGGTGGCTGACATTTGTAATCCCAGCACTTTGGGAGGTCAAGGTGGGAGGATTGTTTGAGCTCAGGGGTTCGAGACCAGCCTGAGCAACTTGGCAAGGCCCTTGTCTCAACAAAAAAATTTTAAAAATTGCTGGGTATGCTGGCGATGCCGTGTAGTCCCAGTTACTTGGAAAGCGGAGGTGGGAGGATCACTTGAGTCCAGGAGTTTGAGGCTGTGGTGAGCTGTGATCATGCCGCTGCTCTCTATCCTGAGTGACAGACCCTGATTCAAAAAGAAAAACTAGATTTTTATTTTCATTTTTTTAACTTAAGGCAAAGGATATTTTTATTAGTGACCTTTGTGTACTCTATTTTTATTGACTCTAATCCTAAAGAATGTCTAGTCTAGTTCTTTTTTCCCTTCCCTTTTTCTTTTCTTCTTCTTTTTTTTTTCAGAGTCTCATTGTTGCCTAGGCTAGAGTGCAGTGGCCTGTTCGTAACACACTCTAGCCTTAATCTCCTGGGCTCAAGTGATCCAACCTTAGCCTCCAAGTTGCCAATTTTTTGTAGAGAGAGGTTCTCGTTATATTGCTCAGGCTGGTCTTGTACTCCTAGCCTCAAATTATCCTGCTCAGATCCTCAAAAGTCTTGAAATTACAGATGTGCGCCACTGAACCCAGCATTCTTCTCTTTTTCTTATTCTTTCTTTTTTCTTCTACCCCCCCTTTTTTGAAAAACATGGTAAACTTGAAAAAGCAAGAAATCACCTATTATCTCTCATCTAGCAATAACCCTGTTGGTGTTTTAGCAGTGTTTTTCTTTCAGTGTTTTTCTGGACATTTAAAAATCAGTGATACAATTCTGTGTGTGTGTGTGTGTGTGTGTGTGTGTGTGTGTGTGTGTGTGTGTGTGTGTGTGTGTACGCACAAAATGACTTCTTACTTTTATACTTGACATTTTATTATAGTTCTTTTTGCATGTCATTGTAACCTCTTTGTTTTCACCATTTTTCATGGCTGTATTCTCTCTCACTCAGGTGCATTTAAATTCATTGGGCTGTTTTGTAAGACCTTTTTGTGTATGATTAGTGGAGCATTTGGACTTGCATATGATAAATTGTAAATAAAGACATTAGGTGCTCTCTACATAACTTATATGAGTGCTAGTTAGTTCCATGTTGTACATTTGCTATAAAATGTCTTACTGAAGCTTCTACATTTATCAGTTTCAGTTTGCTACATATTGGATTCATTTTCGTTCCACGCCTTTCAATTTGTTTTGTTTCTCACTGTGTTGACCTCAGGACCTCTCCTCAGCAAGGAGGGTGTGGGTGAGGCAGAAGAAATGGCTCAACCCCGCTTATCTTTTCATACAGACTAGCACCTTTAGAATCATCTTATATTTTGCAGTGCTGCATAACAGAGCTTTGAATAAGAGTTCCTTTGCCTTTAAGAAGTTCTAAAACAGTGGACATGGTGGCTCATCCCTTTAATTCCAGCATTTTGGGAGGCTGAGGCCAGAGGATCCCTTGAGGCCAGGCATTCAAGACCAACCTGGGCAACAGTGAGAAACTGTCTATACCAAAAAAAAAGTCAGTTGTGGGGGTGCATGCCTGTAATCCCAGTTACTTGGGGAACTGAGACAGGAGGATCATTTTAGCCCAGGATGTTGAGGCTGCAATGAGCTATGATCACGCCATTGCACTCCAGCATGGTGACAGAGCAAGACCCATCTACTTTGGGTGAGAACAACAACAAAATAATTAGGCAACTATGTTAGAACCAATTAAGAACAGATTACTCTTTTAATCATTATTCCTTTTATAGAAAAGGGTTCCTTCTATATAAGGGATCCAACAAGTAGGTGGGTACCGCTGTTGTAAATTCTGTAAGTGGACAACATCTGTCTCCACTGTAAGACTCTGACATTCTTACACAATTTTCTTCCTTTTCTTAACTCAATTTAAGAACGCCTTAGGTCAGAAGTGACATTATATCACGACTGTCTAATATTAATTGATTCTCTCTTTTTGTTCATGGATTTAGTAGTCAAAGGGATGGGAGTTAGTTTAATAGAATCAACCGAAGCGAAGTGTCAGTTGGGGCCAGAAAGCCACCATTCTGGAACCTGACACCCTGGCCTAGGTGGGCGTCAATGTCAAGGGCTTCCTTCCTATAACTTTGTTCCCTGACATGTGTGAAAGAATGGTAGAGTTATTTCTTTTGAAGAAAGTAACCCCATGTGTCAAAAGACTCCCACATTCCATTAAAATTCATTAGGCCGTCCTAATGGGGCACAGTTAATGACAAAATACGTTCATTTTGGCAAGATGAACACAGAACAACTTAAATATTGCACTGAATTCTTGAATGTTGCAAATAGATCCTAATGATAGTCTGATACTTTGTGGACTCCTTGGGCATTTTACTGTGCAAGGAAATGATTGCTGTGAATTGTCACATTGATCATTTATCATGTTCATCAACACAACGCTCAACTTCTCAGAATTCTAGCTGGTGAAAAGTTGGGGTTACCATGGCCATCCCACAGTGTTTGGGAACCTTGGAAGGCAGCTTCTAGGTAGAAAAGGAAGCCTGCCTGTTGATGGGATAAATAATCTCCTTCCAGTTTAGACAGATGGGACTAATTTGGTGTGTTCTGTTCCAAAACTGCAAAAGACAGTCTGGGGGAAAAAAAACCTAGCAACCCACCACATGAGCTTAATTAGTTCCCATCAAAGGTGCAAGAATTTAGTGGTGGGTAAAATTGATGGGAGTTGATTCAAGCCAGGCTGGAAGCTTGACTGTTCATTTTTTAAATTGTAGTTAGCAAGAAAAGCTAGGCCCACATTCTCTTTCTAGGAAATTCCAGGCACGTTTTGTGGCAGTAAAGAGGAATTCTAAAACTGGTAATGATCAGGTTAGGCCCTGCGTGTTTTTTCACATGTCATCCGTGTGGCTCAGATGTTAGATGTCCATGTTAGACATGTCATTAAGGCCCTGCATGCAACACTAGCGACCTTCTGAAAGTTCCATCCTGTGGTGGTTAGCTTGTCACAGATTTGACTCCTGATGGGAATTCATTTTCTTTAAAGTTGCAACTCCCAGTCTGTAATGTTTCCTTTTATATTGCATCCGAATTTTGCATGTATTTCTAGACATTTAATTCTCTTTCAGGCATGTAGACAAACTATCTTGCCTTTCCACTCTGATGCTGGGTTGGAGTGGAGTAGCTTAGGGTCCGAGGGCTGCAGCTTAATACTTAATTTGTTTGTCAGTAGCCTCGTCTAAGCTTCTGCATATGAAATGGCTTTGAGAAGAAGTAGTCTACCAAAAGTAGTAAGAGAAATTGATACTAACATATTAGGTGCTTGAAACGTTTTATAGAGGAAAATGTAACATTGTGTTTGTTGTGTCTGCTGTAGAAAAAGTCATTTAGAACAGTAGTCCCCAATCCCCTCTACTGGTCTATGGCCTTTTAGAAACTGGACTGCACTGCAGGAAGTGCGTAGCGGGCAAGTGAGCTAGTGGAGCTTTATATTTACAGCCACTCCCCATAGCATGCATTACTGCCTGAGCTCTGCCTCCTGTCGGACCAGCACTGAAAAGCCTGCTTCCATTTCCAACATCCTATCTTTGTGAAGCAGGGTTTTCTGCAGTGACGGCAACCAAAATGAGATTAGGGAGTAGACTGGACATAAGCAACACACGGGTGTCACTGTCTCTCGTCACCCCCAGATGGGACCATCTAGTTGCAGGAAAACAAGCTCAGGGCTCCCACTGATTCTGCATTATGGCAACTTGTATAATTATCTCATTATATTTTACAATATAATAATAATAAAAATAAAGTGCATAATAAATGTAATGTGTTTGAATCATCCCAAAACCATGCCCCTCCCCCTATCTGTGGAGAAATTCTCTTCCACAAAACTGGTCCCTGTTGCAAAAAAGGTTGGGAACTGCTGATTTAGAAGATGGTCTTGACCAGAACTTGTGGCTCATACCTGTAATCCTAGCACTTTGGGAGACTGAGGCAGGAGAATCGCTTGAGCCCAGGAGTTCAAGACCAGCCAGGGCAATATAATGAGATCCTGTCTCTACAAAAAAAAAAAAAATTATCTGGGCATGGTGGTACGCTCTTGTAGTTGCAGCTGCTCTGGAGGATGAGGTGGAAGGGTCACCTGAGCCCAGGAGGTTGAAGCTGTGGTGAGCTGGGATCATGCCACTGCACTCCAGCCTGGGTGACAGAGTGAGACTCTGACTCAAAGAAAGATAGTCTTGCACATGTGAACATGGAGAGTTTTAGGTGATGAATTGATTTGGTTTAATGACTGTTTCATTCTACATCCTCTGGGTGAATTTTGAGGATTGAGGATTTTTCCTACAGATAGAATAGATATTTAGATATTTGTATTTGGCTTTAAAAAGTTAAAAAATGCATTGTCCTTAAGAGCTAATTATATGTCAGCTGGAGAACAAACAAACCAAGCAGACACCCTGCCCACAGAGATGCTTGACTTAACCCTGAAAAATAAAAGGTTTTGATAATTATGTTAGTAATTAACTTTCTGGACTGGATGTCAAGCTCTTTCTCTAGGACCTAATCACTCAGATCCTGACTGGAATAAAGCATTTGATAAAGTGTCTTTGTGGCCAGTTAGATAATGGAGAGTACAGATGGGTAAAAACTTGACAATATAAACAGGGATTATGATTCACATTTATAACTATGGCGAGAGTTT